TAAAATATGTGGAATTGAATTCAAAACTTGTTGAGTTAATTACTTTCACGGACGCGTCATCCTATGATAATAAAATGTTATATATTTCAGAGGAAAGTTTAATGGAACAAATGCAAAATACAGCATTTAATATAGAGGAGCATAGAAAAGGAATTAAGAATCTCACTAATAAAATTATCACATTGAAGCATGAGGACGAAAACATTAGTCGTGAAATGAGAGGTATATGCTTAAATACAAATACCTATATTATATTGATTATTATTCTTATTTAATATGTTTTTAAGTATGTTAATTAAAATTATTGATTGTAGCTGTGCAAGCGGAACTCCAAACAATTAATATTGATGTGAAACGATTAGAATTGCTGAAACAAAGAGATGTGAACGCATACAAGGCTGTACTTTGGTTAAAAGAAAATCGAGACAAATTTTCAGCAACAGTGCATCTGCCAATGTTACTCAATATTAATGTAAAAGAGGCTTCATATGCCAAATATTTAGAAAACATAATACCCTTTCGAGATTTAATTGCATTCACATGTGAAAATAAAAGAGACATGAATCTTTTACTTAAGTATTTGAGGGAACAACAAAAACTGAAAATTAATGTTGTACATTCTGATCCAATGAAAAGAGTCACATTGCAACCGAATATCCCGATAGAAAACATACAAAAATTTGGCTTCAAGCATTATTTAGTAGAGCTTATCGAAGTACCACCCTCCATACTGAAATATTTAGTCTCGATGTATCGTTTAAACAATATCCCTGTCGGGACTAATGAAATCGAGAATAATACAAATTATATACCTCGCAATTTAAATTGTTACTTTAGTGGTGAGTGTATATTTCCTAAAAATACGTTATAAATTTTTCTTAAATTCAGTAAAATTTTCTTTATAGAAAATAATATATATTCTGTAAGTACATCTAAATATACACACGAAACATCGACCAGAATATCACGAGTTCATGGAAATGGAATGCTATCTATTGTTCTAGACAAATCTAAACTACAGAAACTTCAAGAACGGTATTTTAATTGAATAAGGAAATAGATAAATTATAATGAATTAACATATTGATATATTAATTTGATTATTTTATAGATTACAAAATTTGCAAGAAAAAAAGAATGAAATTTCAATAAATATTAAAGAAATAGAAGAAAAGTTACATTTGAAAACGAAAACATTAGATGAATATAGAGCCAACAGAAATAAATGTCAACAAAATGTTCAGCATATTCAAGCATTAAAAGGTAGAATACACATAGCTGAAGATAGACTTAGACAGTTGGAAATAGGCCGGATGAATATTGATGATATAAAAGCAACATACACCAACGAGATTAAGGTTTGTTTTTTAACAATGTACATGCTATTTTTTAAAAATTGTCCAATAAAATCTGCATTTAATTAATTGTTTACAGATCATTATAAAGAAACAATTAAAACTGTATAAAGAATATAATGGAATTCTGCAAGAATGTTTCAATTGCAATACAAGTAACGTAGAGGTCAAATTTGCAATAACGTTATTACAACAAACTTTATTGTTTAAAGAGACTGAAGCCGACGAATTAAAGGATAAGTTTATAACAGCAGAGAAAATATTTAAAGAACATGATGAAGAATTCCAACCTTTAAAGAAAGAAGCTGAAACATTATATAAGGAAGCATTGACAAGCACAAATAATCTTAGTCCACAAGATGACGCGTTTAAAGTTTTCAATAAAGCTTTTGAAAAATTACCAGCTACTATTGCTGAAATAAACAACGAATTAAATATTGCTCAAGCAAAAGTTTTTTGTATGGCACAAAATGTGGACGCCGAGAATGTATGTATGTCATGATGGAGAATATTATTTTTTAACACTGCATTAATATAACAAAAAAATTGAATAATTTTTTTTATATTTTCAGATACTACGTGAATATGAAGAAATGCAAAATAATATTCACGACTTAACTGAATTTATCAAAAAGAAGAGTATTTTATTAGAGCAAATGACAAATGAGATTGAGACATTAAAAGAAAAGTGGTTACAACCATTGCAGCAACTGATCGAAAAAATTAATACGAATTTTAGTTCTTACTTTTTTGCAATGGATTGTGCTGGCGAAGTTACGCTCTCACATGGTGAGAATATCGTAAGTATAAACATATGATGTACATGTAAAATAAAAATTTTTTCATTATTCTCAATAACAATATATTTTTAGTTGGATTTTGATCAGTATGGACTAAAGATCAAAGTAAAATTCCGAGATGCGGACGAGTTGCAAGAATTAACAAGACATTTTCAGAGTGGTGGGGAAAGAACTGTAACTACTGCCATTTACATGATAGCGCTGCAAGAATTATCGCGTGTGCCATTTCGCTGTGTGGATGAAATTAATCAGGTACAAGATATCCGTCTTATGCTAATCACTAATAGCAAGTATTCTATATTTATATAATGTATTACATGTAATTTGTCATATTATATATTATTCGTTATTTTTTGCAATTTAAAATTTTCTTTGTAATTTTCTTTGTAATTTTATTAGGGCATGGATGCAGTGAATGAGAAACGAGTCTTCAATTTACTCGTCAAAATGACAGGAAGGCCAGGCAGCTCCCAATATTTTTTGCTTACACCGAAAGTAAACATTACAACAACAATAATAATTTTCTATTATGCGATAACTTTTATTAATCTTGTTGTTTTCTAACAGCTTCTGCCTAAGTTATCATATACTGAGACAGTAACGGTACATTGCGTCTTTAACGGGACAGTTAAGGCGGATAATGAAGATTTCGAATTCGATGTAAAGGATTACTGCAATCATCTCGTATCATCTGATGAATAGAAATCACATGTTTTTTTTCTATCAGTTTAATACGTTATAAAAATTGATATCTTGTTTCTTATGTAAATATGAAGACAAAGTTTCATCGAGTTATAGAAATTTATTTTTAGTTTTGTATGTATATAATGAGTGCGCAAAATTTGTGAAACTAATTTATATTTTCATAAAATATAAAGCATAGAAATATAAAGGTTTAATAAGATAGCTTTAATAAGATAAGCTTTAATAAGATAAATTACATTTTATATTAAGTAAGTTCGAATGTTAATTCTTACAAGAAATGTTAAGTATTGATATTGAAATTAAAGTAAAATAGAGATATATATATATTATTTAGTATGTAATTTATATGAATAGATATTTGTATTACATTGAACTATTTCCAATATGTGTTAAAAGTATAATTTTACACATAGATATTTGCATGACTATTTATTTCTTCCTCTTTCCTTTTTTCTTCTGAGCCTCTGGCCACGGGAAACCTCGACATTTTAGCACATCCATAATGTTATGACATGTGTAATAAGCATTTTCCATCACTTCCTCGTTAAAGATATCCATGGCAAATCGTGCTTTTCCACCGCTTCTTCTCGATTTCTTGGATCCTTTACTTTTGCCCCCATTACTACCTTTAGTACCTTTTCCATTATTTTTTCCGTTTATCTTTGTTCCAGCCTTCTTCTTATTTTTACTCGTTGCCATTGTAGACGATTGATGAAGCCTTGAGAAACAAATCAACATTAAATATTTCTAATTTATTTATAACAATAATTTATTGATAACAAAAGTCTATCACATTTTGCAACAAGTATATATTGTTCACTGCTAATTTTAATATTAAAATTACCGATGTTCAAATTTATTCAGCTAATTTCACTGCAGTTTCGCCGTATTTTCGTGGTAGAAAGCCAGCTCCTGGCTTAAAACGGAAGAAATTCGCGTTGCCATATCAACCTTGTAACAATTACATCAATAAATTCATTCATCGCTAATATAATCTCGGAATTAATTAGAATTAATCTGAAAGGCTATATGAAGCAGGATGTATATTTTTGTAAGATTTTATGAGAAATTTGAATGTCAACTTTTTTTCAAATAGCATATTCAGCTTTGAGAGCTCGATTCTTATGTAATCTATCTTTAAATTTTTCTTAATCAGATTATTCCGGGTTATTTTATCGAGAATCCAAAAAAAAAAGACAATTTTATAAGTTATAAATCAGAAATATATTTTATGAGAAGGATCACATTATAAGCGGAACATTAGTCTTAATAAATAATCTTGATAATTATTTTCATACACAAAGTTAATTTTGTAAAAATTGCTAAAAAAAATATTTGTTCCTAAAAATCCTTGCGAAACATTAAGATATATTTAAAACAGTATTCATTTTGATTATTTATTGAACTGTGATCATGCAAGGAGAGTTTCGGTAAGTGATTTTTATGTTTCTATCACACGTGGAGGAAGCCTTGAATCGCCGACCTCCGAATCTATGAGTGTGCACTTGTCTTCGAATATGCCGCAAACCTCGAGATAAAATTCATACACGTACTGCAACGTGATTTTTTTACAAGATATCTCAAATTTCGACAACAATTCAAATGCGAAATCCAGCTCACTCTAAGAAATTTCAAAGCATCAAATTTGAGTATTTCGATTTACATATTTAAATCCCTTCAAATTGAGTTACAAGTTGAATACCTCTCATTAAATATATTTTGACAAATAAGATCTAACATTAAATGCTTAATAGTTACATAGACTTATAAAAGGAGAAGGCAAGGGGCATTATTCCAATTTTGATAAGAAATAATTTATCAAAATTATTTTTATGTCGAAAAGAAGCTTGAAAGAAGAAGAAATATTAAGAAAATTCCTTAAAGATTCTCGAAAATTAGCTTTAACATAATTATATATACACATATATTTTAATAAATATTATTTGAAGATGAATTTTTGCCCTTTCCTCTCTTGATTGAAAGTCTAAATATAATTACAGAAGAAGTTAAAGAACATGGAAAATTATGAATGTATTACACTCCGGATAAGACTAAGAAAAAATACTATAAATCTGTGCAGCTGAAAGTATCGAAAATGTTAAATGATATAACAAAAAAAAATATATCAAATGAAAAGAATCGGACAAGTGTGTAAATGGAGCGATTTCGATAGAACTCTGCGATAATTTTATCAATAATTAATTCAATCAAAATTCCCTGTGTGTAACACAATTTTTAATTATTATATATAATTTCTGCAATCTTTAAAATCTGCAATCTTTAATCTTTCTTTCCATTTGTTAAGCAAGAAATTAATTGTTTCGATCCATTTTGTTAAGATAAGATAGTATATATATA